TAGATCTGGTTTAGACTCAGTTTAGACCCAGTTTAGACCCGGTTTAGTCCTGGTTTAGTCCTGGTTTAGACTCAGTTTAGACCTGGTTTAGACCTGGTTTAGACCCGGTTTAGTCCTGGTTTAGACCTGGTTTAGACCTGGTTTAGACCCGGTTTAGACCCGGTTTAGACCCGGTTTAGTCCCGGTTTAGACCTGGTTTAGTCCTGGTTTAGACTCAGTTTAGACCTGGTTTAGACCTGGTTTAGACCTGGTTTAGACCCGGTTTAGTCCTGGTTTAGTCCTGGTTTAGACCCGGTTTAGTCCCGGTTTAGACCTGGTTTAGTCCTGGTTTAGTCCTGGTTTAGACCTGGTTTAGTCCTGGTTTAGTCCTGGTTTAGTCCTGGTTTAGACCTGGTTTAGTCCTGGTTTAGACCTAGTTTAGTCCTGGTTCAGATCCTGGTTCAAATCCTGTTTTAGTCCTGGTCCAGTCCTTCTTTAGTCCTGGTTTAGATCCTGATCTGATTCGGTCTCGGTTCATTTTTCTGATTCTGTTTGGATTTTTATTTTTGACATGTGACGATTGTGAAACGAGAAAAACACGAATCAGAATGAGACAGCACTTTCCCCCGACAGGGCGGCACCTGACACCACCTGACACACGGGAGGGCACCTGACACACGGGAGGGCACCTGACACACGGGAGGGCACCTGACACACGGGAGGGCACCTGACACACGGGAGGGCACCTGACACACGGGGAGGGCACCTGACACACGGGAGGGCACCTGACACACGGGAGGGCACCTGGGGTAAAAGCACCTGTCCACTGCACCATGTGACTCAGAGCTCAGGTCATGTGACCTGCATGACTCTGGATCTGAAGACCTGAGATTAACATCCACGTTTAGTCCTGGTCCAGTCCTGTTTTAGTCCTGTTTTAGTCCTGGTTTAGTCCAGGTCAGGCTGGTGTGGACCCTCTTGTCTATGAGAAAAGTTCCGTAGTGCAGCTTTAGATGAGTTCTGCTTTGGTCAGATGTTCCTCAGGTTCTCGTCGGTTCTTCTCTGAGCGTCTGAGTTTGGAGGAAACTTTAATCTTTTATTTCCAGCTCAATACGTCGATGTCGATCTACCAGTCGATCTCTAAGGTCGTGTGTGTAGATCGTCGTGTCTCGTCTCGGACTCGCGTTTGGACTCGCGTTTGGACTCGCGTTTGGACTCGCGTTTGGACTCGCGTTTGGACTCGCGTTTGGACTCGCGTTTGGACTCGCGTTTGGACTCGGTCGTGTCTCTCACTCGAGGTTTGACACTCAACAACTGTGATCATATTTCATTCACTCCAGTTTGGAACTTTAAAAAACAGGTTTAAAAATCTTCCTTCAGTTTTTTCACAGTTTTGTGTAAAGTGCCAGAGGAAGTTCTCTTAAAGAAGAGGTTCTCAAACTGTGGGGGAGGGTCCAGAAAAGGGCACAGAGTTTTTCAGTGCAGTTTGTTTGACTTTGTTTCAGGTCGATCATTTTGACTTGGTCATTTTGTAAGAAGCTCACATGATGAAAAAGTGTGAACACCTCTGGTCTAAACTTTTAAACCCGTCTGAAAACTGAAAGCTCAGATCAAAGTAAGAGACAGAGCAGTGCCTGAAGTTAGCATCACATGACCTGAGGCGCGACCTGAGGCGTGACCTGAGGCGTGTTCTCCAGACCTGTGTGAGCTGATCCTGTGAAGAATGTCCACATGCTGTAGGTCTGAGGATTATCTGAGCATGAGAGACCCTCCTCCTCCTCCCAGGGTCCAGTCCAGGTCTAAACCAGGACTAAACCAGGACTAAACCAGGTCTGAAACAGGGACCAAACTAGAATTGACCAGAACAGGTTTCCATAAACAAAGGGCAGATCTAAACCAGAACTTGGACTTGACCAAACCAGGACTGAACCAACACCAGGACCTCCAGTGATGAGACCTGCTCAGAGGGTCTGGGGTCCCAGTCCTGGTCCAGTCCTGGTTTAGACCTGGTTTAGACCTGGTTTAGTCCTGGTTTTGTCCTCGTGGTGGACCCCCCTACCAGAAAAGTTACAGAGTGCATCTTTAGACCCGACAGAGGGACCCCCCCGCTGACCCCCGCCCCCCTCGGCCCGGGTCCGTGTCCCGCTCGGTTCGGACTCACCGCGCTGCTCCTCGTCGCCGCCTCGGTCCGTCACCTTCATCCCCCCCGCGGTCCGCGCCTCCTCCCCGGGCTCCCCGCGGCTCCAGTGTCCGTTCATCCTCGCTCCCGGCCCGGCCTGCTCCACCGTCAGCTCCGGGGTGGGCTCCAGGCTGGAGGACATCTGCGCGCGAGTTCAGCCCAAGTTTATCCCTCTTTGTTCCGCTTCGGCCCGGGTCAGAGCGTGTCAGACCCGGATCTCCGCGTCATTCTAGAGCGAAATGTCCGTGAGCACCGGGACCCCCGCGCTGCGCACACCGGGGACCGCAGCCTCTCTCCGGGTTCCTCTTCCAGCTCCTGCCGCTGAACCTGACTCCAGACTCC